AGTTTTGACTCTATGGTACAAAACAACATACATTAAAATAGGGTGCTCTGCTGGTCTAGTGGTAAGAATCTGTACTGCAATCTAAAGGCATGTGGTTTGAGTCCACTAGCTAATCCATGGGAGAAGGATGGACAATCTTCTCCCAAGCAATTTAAGTGATTTAACCCGCTACAAGGTCAGCTATGGGCTGGTTCCATCTCAATGATACACAACAAAAATACATTAAAATATTTAACAGAGTTATACAGTACAGCACTATGCATCTGTTAAAAAGAGGGAAAAAAATGGAATATCTATAAACTGTTAAGTGGAGATTACCAGGGTGTACTGTTAAGTGAAAAAGTCAGAAGACCTTTACGTTTTATCTCATCTTAATCTCTATGGTCTTTACTAGTAAGAGTCACAACTGACCTCAGTTGATTCTACACTCACGGCTTGAGGGCTGCTATGATGGAGGAAGCTATGCCACCGACACTCTAAAGACCCAGCTAAACCACTTGTGGTGGACACGCTTCACCAGGGCGTCTAGACAGTCAAAGACTAAAAGAGAAGGATTGGCGATCTACTTTTAAAATAATTGGAGAGTGAAAACCTTATAAATAGCAGTACATTTTCTAATGGTATGGTCTGTAGGGAATTACGTTGCTAACCTAGAGACGGTAGTTCAAATCCACCGGTAGCGTCGAGAAAGAAAGATGAGAAATCTCCTCCCATGTGATGTGCCATCTCTGAAAACCCATGAAAGAGTCAGCTGTGAGTTGGCCCCGACTCAAAAGCAACACATTAGAGATTTCTGAGCAAGGATGGAAGGCAATAAGAATACAACTGGGGAAGCGCCACCTACTCAAAGTGGAATCAACTTTGACGACACGCATGGAGTAAAAGTGTTCAGCAACTTGAGATTTTACATTCATTGATAGAGCATGACTAAAAAGGAGAAGAAACAGTTGTAATAGTCAGAAAGTGGAATACAGGAGTTATGACTCTAGGGGAACTCTCAAAAACTGACTGGAACATGTAAAGACCATTTGCCTAGACACTCACTGCTCTCAAATCAGAACCAATTCAGACCTGATCTTTTAGCAATTTTTCAGAGGCAGTAAGTCTTACAGGAGACTATTCATTGTTCTCTTTTGGCTTTTAATCATGTGTCTTTTGCCTGGCAGAGCAATTCCTCATCCACTACACCACCAGAACTCCCTATCTAGACACTGCTGTTGTGTACCGTCAAGTCAGAACGGACTCATAGATAACCTTCTGGTGGGTTTTCAGAGGCAGTAAATCACACATGAGAAGAGAGCGTATCTTTCTCCCACAGAAGAGCTGCTGGATTAGAACCATGTTCTTTGGGCTGGTAGCATAACTCCTTACCACTAAGCCATCAGGGCTTCCTGAAATCTATAGCTATACAGAGAGGGTTTTCTTGGTTGTAATCTCTATGGAAGCAATTTGTCAGGTCTTTCTTCCATGGAGCAGTTGGATGAGTTCTAGTCCCCAGCCAGTGTGGTTTGTAATTGCATCCAAATGCCAATCACTTGCAACCAGCGTGATTCTTATCAGGTAAGAAAACACTAATGTGAAATATTATCCTGAGTATGATAATGATGAGGCCTTAGAATGTCTTCAGTTCTAGGGGACATATGCTAAGGTATTTAGGGGTGGAATATCATGATCCTTCCAATTTATATTCCACTGGTTAAGGGGAAAAAGGAGATTTCTGGATAAATGAAAGAAAGATGGAAAAAAGAGCAAGAGTCAGCAAGTGTGGCAAAATATGAACAATTAGTGAATTGAGGTAAAGGGTATACAGGGGTTCAAACTCTAGTTCTTCAACTTTTCTGTAGGTTTGAAGTTCTCCAAAATAAAAAGTGAGGGTGGGGTAAGGAACAAGCCCACAATTATGCATCAGAGAACTGCTGAACATCCCAATTTCACAAAGAAATGATCTCCTGGCTTTTCCTGCCAAGTTTCAGATGGTAGACTGCACACTTCTGAGGGTCTTGGTGGCACACATAGTTAACCAACTGGCTGGTAACCAATTGTCCCACTCAAAGGCACCTCAGAAGAAAGGCTGGACAAATTACTCTCCAAAAATGAGCCTCTGAAAACCCCATGAGGCATCGCCGTACTCTGACACACATGGGGTCGTCGCCACCAGCCAGCATCAACTCCATGGCAACTGGTTTGGGTTGTTTTTTTTAAAATGCATTGTATGTCTCCTCTGTAATCCTTTGCCCACGGGCAGTTACAGGGTTTTGTTTACCTCACAATGCTTTTGAGCAGTACCCGCTGCTTTTCCTTTCTGAGGAGGTTCTGAAGAGGTGAGGGCACTACAAAGTACCTAAGTACTTCAGGAATCCTCCAAACAGAGTAGAATAAACCAACATGATTATTTGACTGACATCTATCTGGCTCCCTCCCAATCCAGTGGGCGGTAATGATGTTTTTGTGGGGTTTTTTAATGCTTGTGCTCTTTTATTTCCCCACAATTACATGCCAATCTACAATTATCTCAAAGCAAACCTTTAATATTTAAAAGATCATTGACAGGGAACTTTCTGTAAGGTTAATAAGCATTGTGGAAAAGTGCAGAATGCAAAAGCTTAATACTAAGTGTGCAGTACTAAGTCCAAAAGTCTTGTACATCTGTTTCCCCCTATCCTGCTTAAGTCCTTATATTTTCAAAGTAAATTACTAGATTTATGACTTATGCAATAGAAAGTAAAAGCATCTGCAGGTTTTTCCAATCTAAATTAATTTAGAGGAACTGACAAAGTATTTACATTTGCTTGCTTAAGAATGTTTAGATTGTTCTTCTAAAATAAGTATATTTAGTAAAAAAATGTACAAAGAATTTTATCTATTGCTATTTAAGGGTTTATTTCTCTCTTCTTAGTAGACTCACTGGTTATTGTTTCTACACGTGAAGGCTATTGGTTTTTTGTATAAAAATTTTCTATCCCACTAGTTTTCAGGCGCACCTCCATTGTCTAAATTAGTTTTACTGTTATTTCTCTTGACATATTTCAACAAATAGATGTAGCCTTAGATGTGCTCACCAGGTTGTACCAAGAAATCTGGAGGACAACTTCCTGGCCAATTGACTGGAAGAGATGCATATTTATTCCTATCCTAAAGAAATGTAATGCAGCAAAATGTAAAACTATTCAAACAATATCATTAATATAACATGCAGTTAAAATCTTGCTGTAAATGATTTGTTTGAATATGACTACAACAGTACAACAGAGAACTGCCAGAAATACAGGTCTGATTTAGAAGAGGTTGTGGCACTAGGGATATCACTGTGATGTCAGTTGGATCTTGGCTGAAAGCAGAGAGTACCAGAAGGATGTCTCTTGTTATGTGCCATAGAGTTGGAACTGACCCACAGTTGACCCTCCAGCAAGTTTTCAGAGGTATTAAGTCACACGGAAGGAGACTGCCCATCCTCCTGTGGAGCAGCTGGTGGATTTGAACTGTGTCCTTTGGGACTGTAGTGTAGCTTCTTACCACTAGAGCTCCCCTAGAAGGATGTCTATTCATATTTTATTGACTATGTAAAGGCATGTGATTGTGTGGATCACAACAAATTATGGCTAACATTAAGAAGAGTGAGAATCTCAGAACACTTGATTGTGCTCATACAAAACCTATACCTAATAAAGTATTGTCTGAACAGAGCAAGCAAACACCACACAGTTAAAAATCAAGGAAGAAGTGTATCAAAGATGTATCCTTTTTCTATGCCTTTTTAACCTATATGAAGAGCAGATCATTCAAGAAGCTGAACTTTAAAAAGGACAATGTGGCATCAGGATCAGAGGAAGATTCATGAACAATCTTGCTTGCCAAAAGTGAGGAAGACTTGAAGCACTTGCTGTAGAAGATCAAGAACTATTGGCAGTGGGTCAGTTCTGACACTATAGTATGCAACAATATGGTTCTGTATGTTATGTGAACTATTGCCAATGGATTTCAGACCTAGTAGAGCAGTAATGTTAGTGCTGGAGTTACTAAAAAAGGTGCAGGAATGTGGGGGACATGTCCAATCTCATGGGAGTTGGTTTTGTGCTGTTGATATTGTTGACAGAGACGGTTTCCCTTTGTGTAGCTGGTAAAGGCACAGGGAAAATCTGAAGTTAGGGACCTCTCCAAATTAATGAAGAGTAATGATGTCAGTTTGAGGACTAAGGTGCATCTGATTGAGGCCATGGTCTTTCTGATCACCTGCTGTTCGTCTGAGAGCTGGACAATGAATAGGGTTGACAGAAGAATTGATGCCTTTGAGCTGTGGTGCTGGAGAAGACAACTGAACATCTCATGGACCGCTAAAAAAACCAAACAAGTATGTCCTGGAGAGGGTGCAGCCAAAATGCTCTTTGGAAGCAAGGGTGATGAGGTTTTACCTCACATACTTTGGGCATGTTGTTCTTAGCTATTCCTTGGAGAGGGACATGATGCTTGGAAGGGTAGAGGGTTGGCAAAGGAGAAAAAGACCCTTGACCAGGTGGATTGACGTGGTGACTGCCACAGTGGGCTTGAGTGTGCTGGGAAGTATGAAGATGGCACAGGATAAGATAGGGTTCAGAACTATTGTTCATAGGACTATTAAGAGTTGTACTTGACTTGAAGACACTTAACAACAACAAAATTCAAGCATTTATTCTTTTATACATGTTAATTTCAAAATCTACTCCATTATGTCTTTTAAAACTGCTTGTAGTGTGTAAAAAATAGAGAAGTATACCTTCACTTAAAACATTCAATCTGTGAACCAAGTCATAAAGCATTCTTCTCTTTGACCATATATCCTTATGCCAGATTCCTCACATTCTGTCATTCATTCATGAAAAAGAAATAGGAGCTGGCCATTTTCAACCATGATGGCAGCTTAATTCTTAGAACGCTTTGTAATAATATCACTTTTCAGTAATGTCCTGCAACCAAAACATAGAGGTTAAGTAAAAAAGTAAATTTAAGATGAATATTTGTTTTACCTTCACTGATTAAATTTAATGTGTCGTGTTTTCCATCTCCTTCTTGTGAGTGGCTTGGATCCAGCGAACTCTGAGAAAGGCTACCTTCAGCTGATAACTGGTCAAGACTTTGATAACTTTTCCTGTAAAACAAGGATGAAATGCTATTTAAATTTCCTCTTCATAAAAAGAGGATTTCCAAACACATTCTTTAAAGATTGTCTTTAATTTTTTTTCATTTTGTGGTTAGTTTCCTCTCAAATCTTTCCCTAAATACTTGCCTTTATCCTAGATTCCATGACATTTTTCCTTCTAATCGATAACTTTCTCTAGAGATGTATTTGTCTAATCTACCCAAAAGGCAATATAAAAATGATTTCTCAAATAAATTTAAATTCTTATACTCAAGTTTGATATTACAACTGATAAAATATGGGGAGTTCTGATTATTGCCAATAAATAAAAGATTGGAAAAATCTATAAATCACTCTTAAATAGAAATAATACTGCAAAATTTAATACTGAACTAGTATTTTCCAAGCATGCAAAAATCTTTCATTGCCTTCATATTATTACAGTTACTAATAGCAATGACAGAAAATTATCATTAGAGGTTCCTGTAGGTTAAATGATTTAATGTTGGATAGTAAAGCCCTGTTCGCCTATGTTAATCTCCCATCAAGGCCACTAAAAATAAAGACAGAAAATAGGCAAAGCCCAATAACATTACCGAGACAGTTAGTTACTTTAAATAACTTGTACTTATTGCCTGGAAATTTTATGTTGCAAAACTTATTAATGAGGAACTAATCTAGTAGTTATACATTTATTTTCCCCCTAGGAAATGAAGAAAGTAGTAGTGGAATAATTTTGCTAGCTTGAGATCCAAGTATTGTTCTCAGTTTATACAAAATTATTTTTTCAAATATCAAGAGTATAAAAAATCTTTTTGTTGAGGTGTACCATTGAGTCTGACCAACCCATAACTGTCTCTCAAGTGGGTTTTCAAAGGAAGTTAGTCACATGGGAGTAGACCTCTCATCTTGCTCCTGTGGAGCAGCTGGTGGGTTTAAACTGTGTACCTTTGGGTTGCCAGTGCAACTCCTTACCACGAGGCCACCAGAGCACACAATTGGCACCAGCAGTCAGGAGATCAAAAGATGAATTGCATTAGGAATCTGCTATCAGGGATCTCTCCAGAGTGCTGAAGAGCAAGGATGCCAGTCTAGAAACTAAGATATGCCTGATCCAGGCTACGGTCTTCAGAATTACGTGTTAGACATCAGAGAGCTGGACAATGGCCAATGATGACAGAAGAAGAATTGATGTCTTTGAGTTGTGGTGCTGGAGAAGAGTACTGGACATGCCATGGACTGCCAAGAAAACTAACATGTCTGTCCTGGAGAGGATGAAACCAAG